AGTCCTTCCATTGTTTCATTTCTGTTGTCTCCCTCCAGAATTCATCCCCTAGCTCTTGCATATTTCTCTGCAACTCCATCAGTCTGGTCATGATTTTTATTTTGAATTCTTTTTTAGGAAGATTGTTTATATTGGTCTCATCAGGCCCTCTCTCTGGCATTTGAGTGATTTTGGACTGAACCAGGTTCTTCCTTTTCATGGCGATAGAAGTGATCGCCGGTGAGTGGCATGTGTCAGGTGGGAGAACAAAGCCCCTTTGTTTGCTGGTCGCCTTGCTGTTCTCTGCTTCCTGTGCTGGTTAACTGCACACAGGAAGCAGTCTCTGCGTTAATCCCTTGAGCTGCCATGGGCGGGGTGGCCCTCAGGATAGCCTAAGGCATTTGCGGGGGTTGCAGGTGAGCCACACATGTTCTGCGAGAAAGATGCCCCTTAGTGACTTGCAGAATTTGTGATGGCTTCTTTAAGCCTGTGCCAGGCGACTGTGCACAGGGAGCAGTCTCTGGGTCTGGCTCGTTACACTGGGAGAAGAATCTGTGTGGTTGCTGTGAGCGAGGTTGCTCCCCTGCTGGTCTGCAGCAATTGTTTGTCAGCAGTTTGCTTGCAGTTCCAGCTGGGGGGAATGAATAGAAGGCTGTTAATCACTGTGAGGGGCTTCGGAGCTGTTGCCACCCAGGGGGTTAGGGTGCCTGAATTTCCTTCAGATTCCCAGTCCACATCTTGAACTCTTGTCCCTGCTTTTCTTTTGTTCCAGGGCAGCTGGCTATGGGGACCTGTTCGGGGTCTCTGTCTCAGATTTTACTTTTCTGTTTCTCTAATATCCCGTACACCATGCAATATATGTCTGTGCTCCCAGTGCAGATTACTAGGGCTGGTTATTTAGCAGTCCTGTGCTTCCACTCCCTCCCCAGTCTGGTTGTTTTCCTCACTCTGGTGAGCTGGGGTTGGGGGAGTGCTCTGGTTCAGCCATGTCACGGCTTTGTATCTTATCCTGTTCATGAGATGCTGGGTTCTCGCAGATGTAGATGTAGCGTTGCTGTTATACTGTATCTTCTGGTCTCTCTTTTAGAAATAGTTGGATTTGCTGTATTTTCAAAGTGTGTATGGTTTTGGGAGGATATTTTTGCTACCCTACTCATGTCACCATCTTGAGTGAGTCCCCTCGTGGTTTTAATTTGCATTTGCCTGATGATTAGTGATGTGGAGCATCTTTTCATGTGACTGTAGCCATCTGTATGCCCTCTTTGGAAAAATGTCTATTCAGATTCTCTGCCCATATTTTAATGGGTTCTTTGTTTTGGGGTATATTTATCCAATATGTATTGGATTTCAGCCCCTTATCAGATATATCACTTTCAGATATGTTCTTCCTTACATTAAGTTGCCTTTTCATTTTGTTGATGTTGTTCTTTACAGAAACTTTTTAGATTGATGAAGCCACTCTTGTTTAATCTTTATTTTTTTTCTTACCTGGGGAGATGTGTCCAGAAAAGATTTACTGTTGCTGATTTTCAAGAGAATCATGCCCATGTTTTCTTTCAAAAGTTTTGTGCTTTCATGCCTTTAGGTATTAAATCCATTTTGAATTAAATTTTGTGCATGATGTTAGACAGTGATGTGATACCATTCTCCTGCATGTAGCTGTCTGGTTTTCCTAGCACCATTTATTGAAGAGACTGTCTTTTCCCCATTGTATATTCTTGCCTCTCTTGTCATATGTGGGTTTATTTCTTCGTTATCTGTTTAGTTCCATTGATTCATATATTTGTTCTTATGTCAGTAACATACTCTTTAATTCACTGCAGCTTTGTAGTATAGCTCTTTACCCCCAGCATTGTTCTTCATTGCCAAGATTTCTTTGGCTCCTCAGGGTCTTTTGAGGTTACATATAAATTTTAGGATTCTTTGCTCTAGTTGAATGAAAAATGTCATTGTTTTTTGATAGGGATTGCATTGAATCTATAGGTTGCTTTGCATAATATGGCTATTTAACTATAGTCATTCATCCTATCCAGGACCATGGGATAGCTTTTCATTTATTTGTGTCTTCCTCAATTTCTTTCATCAGTGTCTTAGAGTTTTGAGAGTACAGGTCTTTATCTGCCTTGGTTGAACTTTATTCTTTTTGAGGCAATCAAAGATGGGATTCTTTCTTAAATTTCTTTCTGTTAGTTCATTTGTATGTGTAAATGCGGCAGGTTTTTGTGCATTGGTTTTGTTTGCTGTGACCTTTGCTGTGACATTTATTAATTCCAGTAGTTTTTTTAGTTTTCTCTAAACTGTATCATGTCATGGGCAAATAGGAGATATTTGACTTCTTCCTTACCAACTTGGATGCCTTTTACTTGTCTGGTTGCCATGGCTGGGACTTTAGGGACTATGTTTAATAAAAGTGACAGTGGGCATCCTTGTCTCATTCCTGACCTTATAGGAAAAGCTTTCAGTTTTTTGCAATTCAGTGTGATGGCAGCTGTCAGTTTGTCATATATGGCCTTTGTTATGTTCATGTATGTTCCCTCTATACACACTTTGTTGAGTTTTTAGCATAAAAGCATGTTGGGTTTTATGATCCTTTTTGGTACCTATCGTGATGATGATAGTTTTTATCCTTCCTTTAGTTAATGGGGTGTGTCACATTGATTTGCAGGTATTTCACCATCTTTGCATCCCTGGAATAAATCCTACTTGTTCTTGGTTAATGAGTCTTGTCATGTTTTTTAAATTCAGTTTGCTGCTAGTTTTTTTGAGGATTTTCACAAATGTGTTCATCAAGGATGGTGGTGTCTTCGTGTTCCTTTTTTGTACTGTTTCTGTTGGATTTGGTATTGGGGTGATGCTGAACTAATAAAATGGCGTTAAGTTTCCCTTCCTTTTCAAGGTTTAGAAGTAGGTTGAGAAAGGTAAATATTAACTGTAGTTTAAATGTTTGGTGGAAGTAATTTTGAAACCATCTGGTCCTTGACTTTGTAAGGAGTGTTTTTTTGATTATCAGTGCAGTTCATTACTGTCAGTCTGTCAGTGGAGATTTTCTATTCCTTCTGGTTCAGTTTTCGAATATTGTGCATTTCTAGGAGCTTACCTTTTCTCCTATGTTTCCCAATTTGATGGCATGATGTTTTTTATAACAGCCTCTTGCAGTCCTTTGTGTTTCTGTGGTGTCAGTTGTCACTTCTCTTTCATTTCTGAGTTGAGTTGTCTGTGTTCACTTACACATGGCCGTCCTTTAGCCTCTTCTGCATTTGTTGATGGTGGTGAACTCTAAATAAGACAATGGAAGAATAAAGTCTAAAAGCCCTGTTTTCTGTATGGAGGTGCTTTCATTTCTTTGGCCAGGTTCAAGTTTCTGTAATTTGTTGGGTCCATTTGTGAACTCTCTGTCCTATTTCATTTATTTGTGTTTGTTTGTTTGTTTGTTTGTTTGTTTATGTTATTTTTATTTTATTAATCAGGAGAAAGAAGTGCAATTTATAGGGTGGCTTGACATTTAAATCAGAAGTTTCATTTAAACACACTGGCCCAATAGAAGGGTGAATGACCTGTGGAAACCTCTGGTAGGTCTTTCTTCTACACATGAACATCAAGGCAGCTGGATTTTTTAAAAGGAGGGTGTCAAGCACACAGTTGGTTTTGACTGGTAAAGTAAATGATTAGAACTAGTTGAGTTTTAGGTGTTTGAAAATATTCAGGCTAATGAAGACAGGTTTACGGATCAGGATAATACTGTAGAATGGAAATATAATTTGTTCACTTAATCTAGTGCAGTTTTATAACTGTCTAATATGTAAGTTGCCTGTCTCCTGAAATTGGAGTAACATGCTTGCTAAGTCTGTTATCCACTTGCAGCCAGGAGGATCCTTGTTGTTGGAGCACAGATAACAAACAAGGCAACTAATAAGACGTGTTCTGTTATTTTTTTTCTAGTTTGGCAGATTGATGATTTTTTAATAGCAAAGCAAAATCTAATTTCTCAGTCATTTTCAGGATCCATTAGGATGCAATTGCTGCTTTAGACAATTACCATGAAGTCTCAATCCAGGGCTGTCAACTTCTGTTTCCTCAGTGGTTTCTATCAGGGCAGAGAAGGTGTCAGTGCTTTTGTGGTTAGGAGACTTGTTGTTTTGTGTCACTCTGATGCCGGGGTTCTTGTTCACGATGCCGAAGAATGAGCTTCATAAACACTCAAGGTAGGAGAGCAAGGTATAGGCTTTTATTTAGAGATAAAGCAAAAGGACAGAGCTCCTGGCTCACACGAGGAGGGGACAAGAGAGTCCCTGTGTGTATTAATTTTAAATATTATGCTCTTTTAATTATTGTAGCTGTGTAATTAAGCTTGAAATTTTAACGTTTGAGTTCAACTTTTTCTTTATCATCGTATAGACAAACAGGTATTCAAATGAGTTGTCAATTCCTGCAAGATAGTGTGGTAAGGTTATTGTTGGGATTACTTGGGGTCTCTAAGTCCATTTGAGGAAAATGGACATCTTAGTAATGGAATTTTGATCATGGACAGTATATCTCAGTTGTTTTGTTTTTTTCTTTCATTGCTGTCAAAAATGTTTCACATGTTTTTCCCCAGAGATCTACAAGTATTTTGTTGCATTTATATTTGAGCATTTGTATTTTTGCATTTTTTAGTTTTGGTGGATATAAATGATACTGTTTCTTACATATTCCAATCATGTTAATGGTTGACTGAAAATCAGAAATTTTTATGTTCACTTTGAAGTTAAGTGTATGGTATATGTGTAAAATCCCATCTGGGCACAGAACAACGGGCTCCATTTCTGTTTTGAAGCTAACTGTATATTTTCACTGAATAATCCATATATTGAATTTGAACCCTTTACCAGGACTTCTAAGAAGGGGCCCAACCATCAGTAGTGACTATGTTTGAGCTATGGGATGCTGAACCTGCCTTTTGTGGCACGCATTGAGCACGTGTGCTCCTCCTGTGCACTCTGGTACGTTTGCTAGAGTGAAGACTTGAGCTTTTGTATCTGCAGGACCCAGGAGTCTGGGCTGCAACTTTGGGATGACTTGGAGCCCAGTCCACCAGGAGGAAAATGCGTCCTGCGTGGGGTCCTGACACCTGCAGATGGGGCTTTGCCATGATTTCTTCTGGATGTTTCTGTAAGGAGTGAGTACAGAACCTGCCATTTTCTATCATATACCTAAATGCTTTCTTTATTAAATTCTCATATAGTATTGTAACTTTTTTTTTACGTGTGTTGCATAAAATTTCTTAGAAAGGTAAATAGGGCTGGTGTTATCTATACAATAAAACTGTTATGAAAGACCAGAATTAGATTATATAATAGCTCCAGGTCTGGGGCATAGTGTGTGCCCAGAAAGAATAATATTTTGTGAATTTAAAATGATTTATGGAAGCAGATTAAATGAGGAATGAGCCAACTCTGAGCTTTGTGCCCTTCTGTGAATCATCTTTAAAGATCTGACCCTGTAGTAATTAATGTGCAATGTTCCTCATTCACTGAGGGTTTTAAGGATTAACTTTATATTATTCTGTATCATTTTTATTCAGGATTGTTTCTGTAGAGAAATCCCACTTCAGCATCATATACACAGTCATAAAATTCATATCAAGAAATGGGACCAGCCAGTCTTCCCTGCAACTTGAGGTGAAGAGAAAAAAGTGACACCCTAATAAGTCCCTTCACTCACCTGTATTGTTACTTTTCCAACATTAGAGTAATTGAGATCCACTGAAAACTGGAAGTTTTAAGTACATTAAAATTCAGAACATTATTTAGAGTTCTGCTGTTTTATTGATGCCAAACCAGAATTGAGTATGCTTTAATGTTCCTAGCTTTCGAAAAGTCAACTTATCAATATGTTAATTGCCCTGTAGCTTGTCATTTTCAAACGGGATTATCATTGTGCTTGATGATTTCTCCTGAATTAGTGTTGAACATAATTTTTAAAAATTATCTTCATCCACTAATATGTTCTTTGCCAGACCTCTGTGTGAATGAATGTATTTGTTAAAACATACATAAATGAACCAAGGGAACATCTAACTGTTTTGATACACGATTAGAGTGAGCAAGTTTCATGAATCAGGTTTAGAAGATCAAAATATGATGATGTCTTTTCTCTTCATGCCACCTACTGCATGCTGCGTAAAACCATTTAAGGTGAAGTTATTACCAAATGAAACAAGCCTGTTTCCACTAAGCCAACATATAGCAAAGCCAAACAGTGACATGAGCAGTGAAACCAAACCCTGACTTTGGGATTTGGTGAAAGAAGGTGGGTGTTCCCCAAGCAAGGAGAATGGATAGCTAAAGCTTAAAGCCCTGCACTCACTATTGGCTTATAAGCAAGGGCTTTTAAAGGTTATGGGAAAGGGTTGCCGGATGTGGGATGAGCTTGTGGCATTGTTCTGATGGGTCCTAGGTGAGGTGACAGGGGACTGTTTCAGGAGTGTTAGCTGTCAGCCTTCTGACTGCACTGAGGCTGGAGTCCATGTGCTTGTTCTGATGGGTCCTTGGTGAGGTGACAAGGGACTGTTTCAGGAGTGTTAGCTGTCAGCCTTCTGACTGCACTGAGGCTGGAGTCCATGTGCTCATTGTCAGGAGGTGGCATGTCTGGTGGGGCCTAAATTCCTGCAAAACAAGTCAAGGATACACGAGTCAAGAGTCTGTCTGTGGCCTTGAGGGGGAAATCAGAGTCCTGGGCCAGTTTAGTTTTCTTTACCTTGGTTTGCAAACTCCCATTTTTTTAAATCTTAATTTACATATTCTGATTCCCATACTGTCGGTCATAATTGATGGACCCAGTCTTATGTATCAGTGAGATGTCTGAGGGCCTTTATCAGACAGGGAATGCCTGTGCAATTACAAAACATGTTTAGGACTGAAATCAACGTAATGCTTAAGAGCTAAAACATTGGCTGCTTTTTCTAAATGAGATGCATTTATGGAAAACAGATTTTCTTAGGTTTCAAGTAGAAAATCTGAAGGTACTTTACTTTTGTGTATCTTGGTTTCTGAGATGACAGTGAGATGTTTCTAATCTTCCTTTTTTATGTGCTTCCTTCCTATAATAATGGAAAATTCAAGTTTCTCTTTAGCATGCTCATTCCTTTACTTTTTTGGTCTATTCTGAGCTTCAGAAAAAAATGTACATAAACCTTGCTTTAGCTTTACATTCCTCTAATATACTTTCACCTAATATTCTTTGTTGGTAAGCTACACGACAGGCATTCTAATAAGCATGAGGAATTACATATTGTCCTGGTTTTTCACTAGAGCTGTTTTTTAACCATTTGCTTATGATTCATATGATCATCTCATCATGATCAATTGCATTAAATTTGAGAGTCTATCTGTGCCAGCGTGCTTCTGAGTTTAGCACTGTGTATTTCATGTGTTACAACTCCTGAGGAAGTTTTCTTAATTACTTAAGGAATCTAAAATTTTCTGGACTATTAACATGGGTTTTGTTTTAGTCTCTCATAACTACTGCATAGAATCTTTATTTTACAACGGTGTCTATGTCTATAAAACCTATAGCATGCTGTAGGTTTTACTTCTTCTGAATTGTTTTCGTGGAGGAAGCCCTACACAGATTCACACACAGGGGAAGTAGGTGTACATTCAGGGGATTGTCTGCCTGAATTGTGGATGGACTGTATCTGACTGTGGAAATCAGATGCATTTTACCAATGCTTCTATGAATTCTCATAATGGTTAATTTCCTATGACATTGGAATAATTGAAATTCTCTTAAATATTTAAAGAGTGTATGTAATATCTCAATGTAATATTTCAAGTTTACATATTTGTACTAAAGCCAAAAAAATGTTCAATTTACTGCTTTTAATTTTCAAATTCACAAAGTATATCCATGTGCCTTATTAAAGTTTTACATTCATACAGCATACTTCCAAATTTATATCCTTCCATTGTTTATTTAAAAATGAGTGAACTAATAATTATGATGCTTGATTAAATTGTCAGTTTTCAGGAGAGTCTTAAAATTATCAGGAGACACCTAAAATATATTTCCAGTCACTCAAAATATCATTCCACAGTGCTAATTTGCGTACAATTTTATAATGATTTTGTATCAAGATTTTGATTCAGCGTAGTGTATATTCTCCTTTGATATTCCATATATTAACTTTTGAGTCATGTTAACCTGTGTCAAAGTGCACCAATTACATGTAGTCCCCTACGGCAGCACAAAGGGGATAGTCTCTTCATCACATAGCCCACATACCTCTGCACCGTAAATTCCCCGCAAGGTCACGTCGCTCCTTCCTGCCGCTTACCCGGTAATTTGTCATAAGAGAATCCCACCTCAAGAGAGCCAGAGTGGTGATTCTCTCTCTCTAGTCCCCTCTCTTCATGTTGCGGGGTCATACCTGTAGGGACAGACTCAGAGCAGCACCACGCAAGAAGCAAAATGACAGCTGAGACCCCAGCTTCCGTCCTCTGCCGGCCTCATGGAGAGGACAGGGTGCAGTGGTTCGGGGGCACCATGGGCCTTAACGGGAGGAGTGGCAGTAAGAGGGAATGCCCTTGTCCCTGTCCTGTGCTCCGTGGCAAGGGTTAGAGAGTTTCATAGTAGCCAGGTGAGGAAAGGCATCATGATAGAAAAAGGGGTTTAAAGTTCTCAGTGTTTCCCCAGGCTCCACAAATTATCCATCACACTGGAGGTACAGTAACATTAATCCAGCACTCATGTACTGCCTTCTAAATGTTCAGTTTCTTACAGGGTTGACCGGCTTTAGCTTTACAACTTGGTTCATCTGGGGTAAATCAATCTGTTCATCCATAATATTTTGCGGTCAGATTGGCTTAATGGCATAGTATGAACAGTCATTTAGAAGAGTGTTTTCAGATAATTTCAGACTTAACAGAAAACCTGCAGTATCCCTGATATTCCTTCATTCAGATTTTCCAGTGGTCAGTGCACCACTACATTTGCTCCATCATAGAAAATTGTCCACTGTATTTTTCCAATTAGAGGCACAATTTACCACAGAAATATGACATGACCCACATTAGGAAATCAAAATTGTTGATAATTCTTACCTGCAGACCAGCTTTAAATATCAGCAAGTGCATCAACTATGAGAAAAATATGTCCGCATTCTGGGCCATAGACTTTGTGTCATTTTCATGACCTCAGTTGTGTTAGAGTCCAAAGTTCTCCAACATCATCATGTGCAGGCTCAAGAGTCCTTGTCTTCTTGGCCTTAGACGGGAAGCTTTCAATGTTTCACTGCTGAGTATAGTGTTAACTATAGGTTTGTTGTATGTGGTCATTATCATGCTGAGGTTATTCCTTCTCTGCTCTGTTTCTTGTGGGTTTTTATAGTAAAAGTATATTGTATTTTGTAGCATGCTTATTCTGACTCTACTGAGATGATATGGTTTTTTTCATTTACTTCTAATCTCATATGATTTGCATATTGAACCACGTGCCTCCTTGGGATAAGTGTCAGCTGGTCATGTGGGAAATCCGTTTAATGTGACCTTGAATTTGGTTTACTAATACTTCTAGAAAATGCTCATCTATTTTATTTTTTATTTTTTTATTAAGGTATCATTGATATATAATCTTATGAATGTTTCACATGAGCAACAGTGTGTTTACTACATTCCCCCTTATTATCAAGTCCACAACACATCCCCATTACAGGTACTGTGCATCAGCGTAGTAAGAATCTTGCATCTATTTTCAATAAGAATATTGGTCTGCAGTTGTGTTTTTTCATGGCATCCTAATCTGGATTGATATCAGGGTAATGGTGGCCTCATAGAGTGAGCTTGGAAGTGTTCTGTACTCTCCAAGTTTTTGGAAGATTTTGAGAAAGATTGACATTAATTCTTTAAGAGTTTGGTAGAATTCTTCAGTGAAGCTCTCCGATTACCGGAATCTCTTGTACAGCAAGTGTTCTCTGTCTTTTTTTTTCATTCATTTATTCTTTCATCAAATACTTTATTTTTTTTTATTTTGGTATCATTAATATACAATCACAAGCAACATTGTGCTTACTAGATTCCCCCCATTATCACGTCCCCACCACATACCCCATTACAGTCACTGTCCATCAGTGTAGTAAGATGCTATAGAGTCACTACTTCTCTTCTCTGTGCTATACTGTCTTCTCTGTCTCCAGAGAAGATCATAGCCTTTCACTGCTGCCTCTCAGCACAGGCCTGTCATTCGTACGGGGTCAGTGGGTTCTCCAACTGCGTTTTGTATATGGAAGATGCTTCTGATGATTCTGCAAAGTTGCAGTCTTCCGGCTGGGGAGCC